CTTTAAGGTATTATTAAGGTAGGGTTAATGTTGCTCTCAAAGTGCACCAGATTGATGCTTTTAACTTCAATATTTCAAAAAAAATCTTCCCGGGGGAGCATGCCCCCGGACCCCCTAGAGGGTGTCAGGTCCACTTATACAAATAGCACTTTACCCCTGCACCCCCTCTAATCTCAGATGCACCCTGAGTCATTTGGTCTAAGTACAGTGAGCCTTCCTAAAATATACAGTAAAGAGACAAATCCACCAGCATTATAGGATATACTATATGACTTTGAGCCAAATACTTGTTTTTGGGCTGTATAAATAAATTGACTTGAAACAGTTGCTGATTTAGAATACTGGCTCCTTTTTTATTCCAATTCAAGCACTGTCGTCTCTACAGCTCTACTATGCACTTAACCACAAGAATGAACTGCAAAACCAACTGACATTAGAGGAACTCGTATATTGCAGGGACGTTTACATTTTGTTTTCGCATGTGTTACATTTCCTCAGGTGTTGAATACATATTATCTGAATCAGAATTCACCTATAGTGTTGTTGTCTTTGTTGAACTGCATAATGTGTTTAAGTCTGCAGAATCATCCAGTAATGCAGACATGACATGCAGCTGCCATCACTACAAACCATTTCATTCATTTTTCATGCAATGTGTCCTTCACCTCCAGGAGATGTAGATAAATGTCCGTCCCAAGAGCCGGAGGTCCTGGAGGGGCAGGGCAGCTTCAAGCTGGAGGGCTGGTGGTTGAAGCTGAGTCAGTTTCATGGCCTCATCGTCAAGAGGTTCCACTGTGCCAAGAGAAACACCAAGGGCCTCTTCTCTCAGATCCTCTTGCCAGCCTTCTTTGTCTGTGTGGCCATGACTGTGGCCTTGTCTGTGCCTGAGATTGGTGAGATTTTACATATAAAGGTCGAACATAGCTTTGTATCCTGCTTCTCCAGAAACAGTTTTCGTCTTTCCTACAAGGCAGTTAGAAAGTGACGTTATGGAAAAAGCAAGTGAATAGATACTGCCTTGCTGCTAAAGTGTGTGTGCTGTTGATTAAACTCATTGGTGATTAAATGTTTGTAGACAGCTGATTGCATTATTCCGCATTATATGGGTCTCTTGCATTCATCCAGCTATGAAGCAGTTCTCTATTTGGCTTGACAAGCAAAAACAAGCAGGACTTCTTCTGAGGAGTACAAGAATACAACAAAGTACCGATGCCAAAATTGCTTTTGGCTTTTGACGGCATTTTCTGATTTGCGGAGTGATGCAAAGAGATATTTGATACGGAGCCCCTAAAGGTTCATGGAAAAAACAAAAAGTATCTCATGCGCACAATATACTTTCTCGTGCGCAAGATACTTTGTTATGGTTAGACACATCGAACTGCCCGATTATTACGCAATATTATTAGTTTTATGAAGTAGAAGTCCTGTCACCTGTGTGTGTGTGTGTGTGTGTGTGTGTGTGTGTGTGTGTGTGTGTGTTTGCATTTGTTTTCAGAAGATATTACGATAGTGGCGTTCGTTCCGGTGCACTCCGACAGCGTTTAGCACTACATCGAGATTAAGATTAAACAAACTTATTTCACTTCGGAATACACATGTACAGATGTAAATTACTGTTCATGGTAATTTGAAAACAAATGCCGGTGTTGGACAAATACACCAAACACACACACACACACACACACACACACACACACACACACACACCGACACACACACACAGAGCTGAGCTGAGCAGAGCACAAACACATCATGTAGCATTTCCCTCTGAATAATGGTCGAAGACTTGACTGATGACATACATTTATTGAAATCTCCAATATCAACGTAAGAGCTTGTGCCTCTTCGTAATTTACACATCATGCACCCTGGTGACCGGACATCTCCTTCAGAAAACGAGTAATAGGGGGAATAATCGGGCAGTTCGCTGTGTGTAGAGGTGTGTGTGTGTGTGTGTGTGTGTGTGTGTGTATTTGTCTCTGTGTGAGAGTGTGTGTGTTTGTGTGCGAGAGAGAGAGTGTGTGTGTGTGTGTGTGTGTGTGTGTGTGTGTGTGTGTGTGTGTGTTAGTGTGTGTGTGGTCAAAACGTAGCCTCAATCTCTATTCAGCGGTTCTAATGAAGGTAAACAAAGAGAATGCGTCACGTAAAAGGCACAGCTCTCTGCGCGCAGATAGCATATACTGTGAGAGTCACAGACATTCAAGGGTTCCAAAAACCACAGCACTTTATTTGTGATCGTTCCAAACGCAACACCGGAAACAGGAGAGGATGGGCGAGGGGAAAGGATCATGGCGAGAGTCCTCCTGCAGCAGGCTTGGAGAAAGTCATGTGACTCCGGGCAGCTGGGCTTAAGTAGCATCTCGGCTCCTGCCAGGTGTCCCCGATCATGCTGATTGGCCTCTTTAGCTTCACCCCATCGCAGGACCTGCAACACACATGCACACCACTAACAGGCCACGGGCTCTGGGGCCGTCACATGTATGCTGCCATTTCCCCTCATAAACATAACAGTCTGTAATGAAACGGTTGTCTGCTGTGTGCTCCACTTCCTACTTGGCGCACTGGTAACTTTCTCGTGCGCATGAGAAAGTATCTCATGGGAACGAGAAAGTATCTCATGAGAGCGAAAAAGTATCTCGCAAGCACGAGAAAGTATATTGTGCGCACAAGACACTTTTTTTCCCTGAGCCTTTAGGGGCTCCGTAATTTGACCCTAATTTGTCAACAAAATGAAACAAAAATGTTGAACATTGCTGTTCATTTCTGTTCTGGAAATGTATGCAAATAAGTATATCAAGGATATTCCCTAATATTATTATATCAATTTAAAAAAACAAATGTCTTAATGTTAGTTATCAACTGGGAAAGCTAATTTGTGATATACCTTAGTTCAAAGGTTTCGCCTATAGTATTCACCTGTAGGGTAGTAGTAGTTGCATGCTTTGTATCTTCCTTGCCGGTACATGTTGAGGTTTTGCAGTACTTTTTAAAAGAATCCCTAACATTTAGTTTTTCTTGTTTTACAGGAGATTTACCACCCCTAATCTTGTCCCCATCTCAGTATCATAACTATACACAACCTAGAGGCAACTTCATCCCTTACACCAACGAAGACAGATCCCAGTACAGGTAAGAAGATATTTTTATTAACAGCAATTGGACCATACAGACTGGTATGTCATGGTTCAGCCTAATGATGAGTGTTATTTTAGAAAAGACAGACTCAAAAGTTGATCATTGCTTTTGGGGAAAAGTAATTAGCACATGTCAACAGATGACAGCTTCCAAATGAAATTAAACTGAACATGATTGTCAACTAGCTCAGCTAAATGTCAACATGCTAAAATGCTCCCTAATGACACTTCTAACCACATAGCATAATTACCCGAGTAAGACTCGAGTCACAAATTTGACAACATTTCGACTTGACAAAATCACAAAACACTCGACTTGGACTTAAACACCAATGACTCGGGACTTGACTTGGACTTGAGCCTTCTGACTCGAGGTGACTTGATACTTTAATTCATGGGTCTCCATAACTGTGTCTCACTTCTCCTAACTGCCTTCCTTCCCTTACTTGCGTATTTTGCTTGCGTCTTAGACCCTCCCGCGGGGGTGTTTCACAAACACCCCCGCCTCTGTTAGTACACATTTGCTGACATAAAAATGTGTATCATCTGTTGTAGACCCAAATAAATAAAATAAAATAAGAACTTATTTTCAAAAACAGATAAAAGCCATTCTTAAAATGTATGAGCAAACTATAGTTTCATATTTCTTTGCATGCACAATAGAAAGAAAATAATTGAGAGAAGAAAAAGCATAACAGAAATATTGTGGGTTAAATAAACGTGAACAGATGTTGCATTATCGTAACGGTATTGTTGTAGGCATGAAAATAACATTAAGTAACGGCAATACACTTGTGTTGGCTGAGACAAATCATGTAATTCATGTCTCAGCTGTGACTGAATGGAAATGACAATAAATAAAAA